ATTGGCTTATGCAGGGCTAGTGTTTGGGAGTCTAGAACCTCCATCTGCAGATGCAGTCACCATAGTGCACACTCCTCAAAAGCACCTGGTCTACCACCATAGTCCATGTGCTCTCCAATTTTAGCTCCTATGTCACTTCCAGTACTTCAAAACACACTGTTTAAGACATCCTTAGAAAAGTTACACAAAATCATTAGGATAGGGAAATTGGCTTCTGTGCTCATTGGCATTAGCCAATTGTAATTCCTCCCCTTCTTTAAAAATTACTTCCATGTCCTGATTTCTTATGTACATAGACAAATAATAATGTATTAATACTAACTAGCTATCGATAAACATAGTTCTCTCTAGACACAGTTGCAAAAGTAATAGAGACCTTATGTGTTTTTAAATCAAATTCTTCTGCCTGCTTCTCATGAACATGTGTAAACTTAATTTTCACATCTGCTTAGTTTACTTCAAAGATAAAAATATTTGAAACATATATTTGAATAACCAGGTGTGTTCACAGTGATATCATAAACTTCTGCCTAGTGAGTAATTAACAGGATTCCACTGATGCAACTAAATGTTTATGAGTGCCTAGATCAGATGAAAAGCCATTACCTATCACATAGTCTAAGACTATGAAGTGATGGGCAGGACAAGATAAATGTGTGTTAGTTTCCACCAGTAAAGTGTGAAAAGATGCAGATATTCAGCGATATGTTTCAGCCAGGTATGATTTCATCCAGCTGCTCATTCCCACTTACTCTTCCTCAATCCAAGCCCCACTTTTTGAGCCAAAAATACGCAACAGTAAGCATGTTGAGAAAAACTTATTTTGGAAGAGGAGGGTCAATGAGCAGACTTGTGGTTCATCTGATCTGATGCCCAGGAATAAAGCATCTCTGGCTGCTGCTAAGTCGGCTGTGTAATTTGAAGTGCTGGGTGTGATTCAACAATGATGAGCTGTGAGTACACATTGTAAAAGTGGAAGAAAATTACATATTAGAACTTTTTCCATTGTGTTTCTTTTTTCAGACCATGCTTTCTAACCCCTTGATAACACTGAGCTAATTTTTGCCACATGAGTTTTTTGGGGACCTTTTTTTTTCCCCACTTATTCTAGTCATGATAATACAGTTGTATTGGGGTGGGTGGAATTGTGGACACTCAGACTGTTGCAGACCTGTCTATGAATTCTATCTTTATAGTGGTAAGTCACTAACCTCTATGTCTTGTCTCCTAAAATGGAGCAATAATTAAGTACAAATTATTCAAATAATATATATAAAGTTCTTGGCAGGTAGTAGGGTACTCAGCTGGTAGAAATGATGATTTTTACTGTTCATCCTTATGCACGTAATTCTAAATCACTTCATCTCAAAGTTGTAAGCCAAATTATAGAAATGATTGTATACTCACAATGTATTTTCTGACGCAACCAGTTTTATCCACCTTTTGATTATTGAATAAAACCTTTTGTTTTTCTTTGAAGATTTAGTTTGTACTTAATTTTTAACCATATTATTCAGTGGTCTTCTTTTTTTATCTATTAATACTTCAAAGTTAAAGCCTGGACAGTATGCGGGTCTTTATTTCAATGTAAATAGTAATTGTAGAGTACATTTCTCTTATCAGCCTGCTGACATGTTTATAGGCATTCTTAATCCAAAAGAAAACATTCTGGAAAGAGTTCTTGATACCATCAAGTCAGTTTATTGAAAAGTGGAAAATGCATTTGTCACACTTTAGAAAAATAAGTAGTTTTCAGATTTCAGTAAATAAACTTGAACAAAATTGTCTTGATGTTTGTATCCAGACTAAAGCACCAGTACATTTTGGCAACTTGATTTTGATTTTAAATTACAAGGGCTATTTAGCTATTTAACAAAATTTACTGAATGCCTAACCTGTGCATGGAGAAATTCTCAGGTTAAACATGATAAGTAAAACCACCACAAGGTCTAGTTTTTGCCTTCCAGGTACTGGTGTGTAGTTAAGGGAACAGACAGAGCAATGTGCTCAGTTCCATGTGAAGTTAAGAATGAAGTTCCTGAAAAATCGATGGTAGAACTTTTCATTGGAGGTTGTAAAGGGGAATTTTTGAGAGAACTTTTTAAAAATGGGTAATGTTTTATTAACTGTTAAGGAATGACTTTAAAAGGAGTTTCATACGCTTTTTTTTTTTTTAAGAAAGATTTATTTACTTATACATACAGAACTGGGGTACAGGCAAGATGTGCAGGAGTGGTGAAAGGATTTATCAGAGACAGAGTGGGAAGAAGAACAGGTTGACTGGCGAAGTACACTGCTGAGGGGGAGCAGCAGGCGGATCAGGAGAGGTCTGCCATGCCATGTGGGTCATCTCCGGGGCAGGGATCAAACTTGTGTCGAAGCTGCTGGAGCTAGCTTCCTACTTAGTGCTGCACTTTAACCTGCTGAGCTACCAAGGAGGGCCTGGAGTTTCTTATTCTTATTTAAGTAGAAGTATTCCAGGTGGAGAAAATAGCTAGAACAAAGCTATGATTTTACAAATCATAGCTATTGATAGTCATAACTTAGTGTAGAGTTTATCCAGTAGAATATGTTGGTTGTGTGTGGCTCACAAATGTATTTTTCAAAAACTTAAAGATTACCTTCTAAATATTTGTATTTTTTTCTCATTTTTCTCTTCTTGTGAGAAGATTCATTGTATACAATAGCTAGAATTTTTGTGATATCTTAATGCTTATTGAAACTTTCCTTTAAGTAACGAATATTTGTTTTCCCATGATTTAAAAATACTTACAGCCATGCATTATTGCACTTCAAATAAAGTAAATATAAATTTTACAAATCATAATTCAAGAAATCAATATAAATTGTCACAAAATAATATTTAAGTTCTAAGAAGTAACCATAGGTTTGTAGGTTTTGATTCATGCAGAATTGTATATGAGCAAACTCATAAAAAGCAATGCATCTAAATAATGTGATCAGTAACATCAGATTATGCACTAAAGATGTATTGTCTATACTAACTTTGTAAAAAAAATTTACCTGGAAAAACTTTATTGTTATTGGTGAAGCACTAACCCAATTTGACAGTGCAGGGAGTTATTCACCTGTAATGTGTGAAAACCTTAAATGAAATTTGTCCTATGTTTTCATTGAGTATGTTCACTGAATAAGAAGTCTTCCCACTTTGGAACAGGTACATGTGTATATACCTGGTAATTCAAATACGTGTGCTGATTTTTATTAGTCTTACACTGTAACGTATTATCACATATATGTGATACTATTGTTATAACAGGAATATTCCAATTTAACAAATGGTTTGTGCTGAAATGTCTTTGTATCCTGTCTTTGCTTGACAACCAACACCACATAGTTTTGATGAGTTAAATGGAACTGTAATCATGGATTATAAAACTTCACCCTTTAAAACTGAGTTGCATGGAATCAATGAATCAGCATACTCTTGGCCTCATTTTGTTCTTTCTGTTCACGTCAGATACAAACATGTGAGTCTGTGTGCACTATTGTCTATGTCTTTCTAAAATGATTTGAGATTATAGTTATATATGTAGTGTGGAAAGTCCACTGTAGTCTATTGAACTAAAAATGGCCCCATCGACTGATGTGGCTCTAATGGAAGCGAACCAAAGCCAAAGCTTAAAAATGACTC